AGTCCTGTGTCATGCCAACAGTAAAGCATCCTGAGACCATTCATGTGTGGGGTTGCTTCTCATCCAAGGGAGTGGGCTCACTCACAATTTTGCCAAAAAACAGCCATGAATAAAGAATATTACCAAAACACCCTCCAACAGCAACTTCTTCCAACCAACCAAGAACAGTTTGATGAAGAACAATGCCTTTTCCAGCATGATGGAGCGCCGTGCCATAAGGCCAAAGTGATACGTAAGTAGCTCAGGGAACAAATAATTTTGGGTCCATGGCCCGGAAATTCCCCAGACCTCAGTCCAAATGAGAACCTGTGGCCAATCCTCAAGAGGCAGGTGGACAAACAAAAACCCACTAATTCTGACAAACTCCAAGAAGTGATTATGACAGGATGGGTTGCCATCAGTCAGGATTTGGCACAGAAGTTAATTGACAACATGCCAAGGCCAACTGCAGAGGTCTTGAAAAAGAAGGGCCAACACTGCAAATGCTGACTCTTTGCATAAACGTGATGTAATTCTCAATAAAAAAACATTTGAAACTCATGAAGTGCTTGTAATTATACTTCTATACATCACAGAAACAACTGAAACAAAGATCTAAAAACACTGAAGCAGCAAACTTTTTGAAAACTAATATTTGTGTCATTCTCAAAATTTTTGGCCACAACTGTACACTCAGTTTCATACTTTCTTCTTTATTTAGTTGTTTAAAAAAATATTGTACAATAAGGTCATATAATACACTTCATAAGCTTATGTAATCATACAGTGATTATACTGTATATAAGGACATGCTAGGTAACATTTTTATTTCTTAGTTTACATTTTGCTAATATCTCTTCACTTCTGTAATTTACCTGCATTTTGTATTTCTTTTTAATGTTGTAAAACATAGAAGGTAATCAATGACACCACAGCAATGATACACTAAAAAATATCTGTGGTTCAAACTGTCTTTGCAGCTCTTCCAGAGGAAACAACTGTGCCAGGTGAATCTAAAAGTTGTCTTTTAATGAGAATATTTTTTTTATCCACTAGTAAATATTGAAAGTTTTTACCCCATGAAGTTAATTGCAACAAAAGAACATTTTAACTCATGCAGATGGAGACAACTGGGGAACACCACCATCTCCACCATCTACAGAAGGTGGGTATACTTACTGGAGTATATGGATTTATTTTATTTTTTTCCTTCTTTAAAATTCAATTTGAACATAAGGAAAATCTACACTGCAGACTCAGTTTCATGCTTTCTTCTTTATTTGTTATTTGTTTGCAGATGACTCATTTGGGGGCTGGCATCCATCTTGCCCAGATGGATGGAGTATGCACAGTCAACAGTGCCTCCTCTTTGTTCCAGAAAACATGACCTGGGACGATGCTCAGGTAACAAGGATGACTTTTTTCCTATTAATGAATCTTACATTTTCTTTGGTCACTCCATGCTTGTTTATCTCCACCGTAGAATAACTGTCACTCTCATGGAGGACAGCTTGCATCTGTGTATGATGACTTTCAAGCTTATGAGATTCAAGCAGAGCTGAAGCGTGCTGGACATGATCATGGAGAATTTTGGGTTGGAGGCCATAATAGTCCAGGGGTAAATAGCATGATGTCTAAGATTTTGAGAAACAATTGATTTTTTTTA